TGCAGCCTGCGCAGCCGCGGAGCCGCCGCACCCGCCCTGCGCGCGCGCATCCTCGCTCAAATCCCGCAACCCCCAGTCGTCTGGCGTCCCTTGTCTTCGCCAGTTCCCACCTTGCTTAACCTCCCTCTACGTCTCCCTCCAATCGGGTTCCCATAGGCCTAGATACCAGTAGTATTGCCATTTTTTGGGAGCGTGTTAGCTCTGCAGAATCGCAGCGCTCTGCACCCCAGCAGAGCCATGAGCCAGGATCTGAATTTTTAACAAGATTCGTAAAATATTTTAATATAGATTCAAGTGTAAGAAACACTGCTTTAGAGGGTTTCCCCGGACCTATCATCTGACCAGGCCTTGCCAGACATTGCCTGTCCCATCTAGATCCGGTACTCTCGGGTATATAATGCACTTAGTATAAAGGGACATCATGCTTGGGAAAACAGAGGGTCAGCGAAGAAGGAAAAGAGCCCCAGCAAGATGGACTGACATTGATTTCAACAATGGGCTCTACGGTCTCAGAAAGGATGAGGACTGTAGACGATAGGAGAGGCTTAAGAATGGCGGCAGTTCATAGGATCCCTACTCTACTCGATGGCACCTAACAACAACAACATACTCATGGTGTTTTAGGATTGTCACAAAAGGAAGCGAACACAGCAAGACCCCTGTTAAATATGTAAACCAAGGTGCTTAGAGCAAGAGTGGAAACAAAATCCTAGTTCTTCTCCCCATTGGATTCACCTGTGCGCTCCCTGGTTTTACAGTGTAGTGATCCGGAGTGGCTGCTGGTGCCCGTGCAACCTGCTTTTTCAAACCCAGGCATCTGGTTTACTGTTTCTTTGTGGCAAGCATACATGGGCTCTGGCAGGTCTAAACCCATATAGAAATCAAGTTAACTCTTTGCTGTGAGTGGCCACACTGAATTCTTTAACCCATTTCTTTCACTTACAAGTCACTGTTAGTCATTTATTTAGCCACCCATTTACTTAACATCCAGCACTTAGCATATGCCAGGTCCCGTCTGATGGTGATTGGGAAATAGTCCATCCAAGCTGCTAAACCGATTTCCATAGACATGGATGAAGTTCCGTTGACGTCAGCTTTGCAGAATCAAAATGTTAATCTCTTTCTGTTTATTTCATGTTGTTGTAAAGTGCCGTCTAGTTGCAGACCACTCATAGCAACCCAATGAACGAAAGACCTGAACACTTGTGTAACTTTCATCATTTTCTCCATGTCCATAGAGTTTCCAGAAGCAAGCTATTTCGGAAGTGAAGGCCACTCCTGCTTCCAATTATTTCATTGAATATAGAAAATAATAGAGGTAGAAAAAGCAGAAGGGTTGCAAATACTGACATTCAGAAGTCAGGCTAGCCTGGGAGGAAATAAGTAGTCTCCCATGATCCATAACCTGCACGAAAACACTGAAGATTAGGTCAAATGAAGAGAAAAGGATCAGTGGGTTCAGCAGTATTAATGACAGGAACCAATGTGCATAAGATTATAAGACACTAATACTCCAAAGGAAATTTGTTTCTCCCATCTGATTTGGACTGGGTGGCTGGGGGACAGAGGACTGCTGTTGTCAAAATAGAAGTGCTAAGAGATTCAGAGTCCAAGTGTTTGTTTTTCGGTGTTAGTACATGGCAGGATGTTCAGATGGAGTTTAAACATTGTGTCCTTACAGGTAAATCCAGGTGGAACTAATTAAATTACTAGAAGGCTTCACTAGATCCTACAACACGTGACTTGTTCTAAGAAATGAATCAGATTTGTTGCTTGGGGGAAAATAAGATAAACTACGATTGCTTTAAAAGATCAAAATAAAGAAACTTCTCCCCAAAACGGTTTTATGTAAATCTTTTGATGTACACAATTCTAAGATACAAAATCAATGTGTGTGTGTGTGTGTGTGTATGTACACACGTGTGTGTATTGGAGAGAATATATTTAAAATCTATTCAAATAAAATGTAATACTTCATGGGAGCTCTAGTGGCCTAGTGGGCAAGAAGCTGCACTGCAATCTTAGAGGTAAGTGGTTCGAATCCACAAGATGCTTTGCTGGAGAAGGAGGGGCAATCTCCTCCTGTACCAGTTAGATCTGAGTTGACAGTACACACACACACAAAATAATAAAATTAAATAAATGAATTTTTTTTTAAAAAAAAATGTAATACTTCAGAAAACAAAAACCAAACTTCCCCACACTACACTTTCAAAAAGAAACTAAAATAATTCCCTTTTTTCTTTCCCTGTTCACCAGGGGAAGCATGAGCTTCTGACTTCAGGGATCATTTTTCTGGTCTGTGAATCCAAGCAGTCATCTATTCTTCTTCTTCTTTTTATTCTCTTGATTTGGGTTACTAAGATTAACAGTGATGATGCCAGATAGAAGACAAATAAAACCCAAATGATTCTCTTCCCTGAATCTTGGTCTGATGAAAGGTGAGTTTATTTTGTGCCTCTGTCTTGGGATGGGCAGTGGAAGAGGGTTTGCAACCACAACCTAGAGGATATTTGCAGGTAATATGTGACTTCCAATGATCTACCATTATCAGGGAGCTCTGGCAGCCTAGAGGCAACAATTCTGTAATTGCAAAGGCAAGCAGTTTGAGTCCACAGCTGCTCCACAGGAGCAGATGGGCAGTCTCCTGTGATTTTTACTGCCTCTGAAAACTCACTGGAGTCAGCTATGAGTAGGTTCTGAGTCAACAGCACACAACAAACCATTATTAGCAAGGACCAGCTGCTGTTACGTGTTGTAAGTTGACCTCTAGGGCCCAGGAATCCCTAGGGGTCAAAAGTGGACTTAGCTGTTGTTAAACTTCTCCACAAGTACTGGAATCATGCTATGTTGTACATATTTTTTGAGGGAGATGATTATAGCTTTCAGGGTCACCCCTCAGTGTGTGTGCCTTTTCATGGTATCCTGCTTGGACCATCTGTCATCCTAAGCACACATTTCAACCTACTTGGACTTCCAGTTCTCTACAGACTTGACTGCATCCACTTTATGAGGTTCTCTCACATTTTTTCTTTGTGTTTTTTTTCTCACAAGATTTAAGCCCTGGCAAAACTGGAGGGAGACCAATTTTCACCCTCACCACATGTTCCCATCTTAGTTCCATCGTGGATTTTACAGAGATGCTGTGCTCCCTGAATCGCTGTAAACTGCTCAGTAGCCACAATATATATACATATATATGGTTGGTTTCCTTTTCTGTGCAGTTTCTGGGAAAGAACTTTCACTGAACATTCTGTGACCCGTGACTGAACAAGAGTTGTCTTTTCAAATAAGCACTCTAGGAGATTAACTCATTTCTTTTTTCTTTTTAATCACCAAAGAAAATATTTTATTCAAGTTCCCAAACCAAAGTTGAGCTATGCTGGGTTTGAAATCAAAGACAAAAGCCAGTCAAGATTCAGAAATAAATAGTTCTTATCTAGTGAAAATCCAAATCCCTGTATACACCTTAACCAAGCGCCTGCTGCATGCGATGCTTTAAAAAAGTCTTTCAGAGTCTACCAGGCTTACCCTTTCGTTGCTTTTGCTGCTTTTGATTTGTTTTTCCCCCCTTCCCTTTTTCTTTCTTTGCTTTCAGCCTTTTTCTCGGCCTCTGGTTCATCCAAATTGGGTACTGTCCATGCTGGTCTAGAAGGCTCTTTTTGTTTCTCTTAATGTCAGGTTCCATTTTCATGTCATCTTTTTCATCATTTGTATCACATTGCATTTTCTCTTGGTAATGTGTGGGTACCACCACAGGTGCAATCTCTTGCACATCATTCATTACAACATCACCATTCACTTTGAGAATACTTTTAAGCTGGCTGAGCTCCTTTGATGCATTCTTCTTTTTTCAGCACGCATCTTTCTTTTCCACTTAATCCGTAAGGTTTTAGCCATGTTTTAACCAAGAATACCAACACAACCACATGCAGTACAGGAAACCCTAATTTCATTTCTTAAAAAAAACAACAGAAAACAAAATAAAAAAACCCCAACAATAGCAAAAACCCAAAAAGCAACCTACACACAAAAAACAAACAAACAAAAAAATCAATACAAACCCCAGAGCTCTCTAGGGAGTTAGACTGCTGTGATTATGCTGGTTTGAATCTACCAAATAGCTTCTTCGGAAAGATAAGCAAAGTCTTCCCTTGTAATTTACAATCTCGGAAACTCACTAAACAGTCAGCTATGAGTTGGTTTGGGAAGAATTCACATTTTCACCCAGATATATGGAATCAGAATTTCCATTTTAACAAAATCCTCATGTGATCCACCCCCTCTTTTTGTTTACTTCTCATTAGCTTTCATCCTGTAGTTCCTTAAAGAGTTAAACTTACAGCTTCTGTTGTTGGTGTTGGTAGGTGCCATCGAGAGGGCTCTCACAGCATATTTTATGAACAACAGATTGAAAGCTTGCCCTTTCACCACCTTCATGATCTCTACCAGGCTCAAGCCTAGTGTTGCAGTCACTGTATCAACCCATTTTGTCAAAGGTCTTCATGGTTTCCTAGGCCCCAGTAAGCCCAGCCACTCCTAGGTATAAACTCAAAAGGATTGAAAAGATATGTCCACCCAAAGAAGTGGACGTGACTGACTTCACTTTACTCCTAAACACCAAAAAAGTGGAAAGAATTCAAATGTCTATCAGCTGATGAATGTGGTATACTTGTACAATAGAATATCTTAATACTAAAAACTAAGGAAGCACTGATCCTTGCTAAATCATGGATGAGGCTGTCAAACACATTGTGTTTGTAATTGTAATTTACAATTACAATTGTAATTTAAATTGTAATTATTGTGTAATTCCATTTAAATCCAGTGTCCAGAATCAGCAAATCTATCCAGATGGAACAGATCAGCAGGTGTCAGGGATTAGGGGAGCAGCACTTGCTAATGTGTATGAGGTTTATTTTTGAGGTGATCAATGAAACTGTTCTAGAATTGATTGTGGTGATAGTTGCACAACGTTGTGAATACATTAAAAACCACTGGGTTAGTTGTTCACATTCACATGGTTAAGATGCTGGATAGTAACATAATTCTAAAAGAAAAGGTTACATATTGGGAGACTGCAAATGCAGGATGCTGATGGCACCAAGGAATCCTGCTACTGATTGTTGTTGTTATGTGCCATCGAGTTGCTTGCAACTCATGGTGACCTTATGTACAAGAGCCCTAAATGCTGCTCTATCCTGTGCCAACCTCGCCGTCTCTGGCACACTTATTCCCATCACCCTAATCACAAAACCGATCCATCTCATCGAGGATCTTCCTCTCCTGTGCCTTCCCTCCCTTCACCCAAGCATGACATCCCTCTCCAAGGACTGGTCCCTCCTTGCAACATGCCCAAAGTACATCAGACAAAGCTTCAGAATCCTTGCCTCCAAGGAGCATTCTGGCTTCACTCTCTCCAGGACAAACCTGTTTGTTTTCCTAGCAGTCCATGGTATATTCAACACTCCTCTCCAGCACCACAGCTCAAAGGCATCAATTCTCTTTCTATCATCCCTATTCACTGATTAGGAAACAAAATTCTGAGTGCATCCAGGTGGGATCTTCTGTATGGGCTGAGATTGAGTTTTCAAACTTTTCAAACAAGAACCTTCTCTTTAGTCTAACCACTAACCCAAGGAATTGACTCTGACTCCCAATGACCCTAAAGGACAGCACAAAACTACCCCACAGGGTTTCTGAGGCTGTAAATCTCAGCTGTCTCCCTCAGTGGGTGAATGTGAACTACTTACCGGCTTTTAAGCCCAGCACCTAACCCACCGCACCATCAGGACTAAATCCTATTCCATCTACTGGTACTCTTTGGAACCAACTCAAAGGTGATTTGCCATTAGGCTTCCAAGGTGTAAATCACGTGGGAGAAGATTACCCATCTTTTTCCTCTGCGGCTGCTGGTAGATTTAAACCTCCAGAGAGCCAGGGCCTTTGGGTTAACAGCACAGCTCCTTACAAACCAGGCCAACAGAACTCAGTCTACAATCCACAAATTCTGTGGATCATAAATTTCCTAGACTCCTTGAAGTAACCTCCCATGCCCGGCAGGAGACTGTGGCTCAAAGTCTGGTATGTTATATGTTGCTTTGGAATGTCAGTGAGGAGACACAGGTGTGAGTGACCCCCACGGTGCCATTGTTCTGGATTTGTGTATATAAAACATGTGAAGTGATTATACCAGTTCATTTTAGATTCCGTCAATCCACCCAACACTATCCCTCCCGTCTCCTCCAGTCACAATGCCAAGCTCCCCTTGTACAGGTAAGTCGTCAAATAATCAGGACAACTGCTCAAATAATGGAATCCTCTTGATTTTACTGGTTAGTTCAGCTGCCAAAAGTACTGGGTTTTCATACACAGAAACAGGCAAATTATTTGCAGTCAGACTTCCAGGGACATCAACCTTCAGAAATTTCTGTGAACCCAGGGGCAAGCAGGGAAGAAGGCAGAGGCTTGAAACCTCCAGAAAACAGCGGCCCAAAAGCCCATGCATCCCTCCTCAAAAGCAAAGCAAACCTGACACATGAATACTGGGTTTCCCAGCTCCCCCAAGAAACCTTCAGTTTTACCTGGAGGCTTCCAACAGAGAGCTGGAGATGAGAGCAGACACCTCAGAAAGCAGTTTAGAAGAGGAGGGTATTGGATTGGCGGGAGGTGATGACCCCAGATATAGGTGTCTCCGGATTGCACAGGAATGTGTTCTGTATCGTGTGCGTGGAATAAGGAATGGCTAAAGCTGTTTCAAAATACAGCCGGGGGTTGTGTAGTTGGGATAAAAAACCTCGACCACTACACACACCCTGATGGTGTCATCGATGGAGCAGATGGCAGTAAAAACCATCAGAGGGAAGATCATCAGTGGTCTGTGAAAGGCAAAGCCAAGGCGGACACATTGTGATAAGCTCCCGATGATCTCATTGCACCAACCAAGGTGCAAAAGGGGCTGATGCCTATGATTACGACCATGACTCATCAAGGAAAGGTTAAATACTCTCCGGCATACTCTGTTTACTAAGGCAGGGAAGTGTGTTACACATTTTAGAAAGATTTCCCCCAGAAAAAGAGTAAAATTTGAAAGAGTCAGCACTTAAAAGGTTAATCCTCGGTGATCTGCTTACATACCTCATTTTACAACAATCCTACTAAATGAGGCATTACCTTTTTTAAAATAATCATTAGTATCAAATTATTGGCACCATTCAGTTTTAAGGATAGGGACGGGAAAGCAAACTATACAACACAACGTAAAAATACAGTTCAGATACAAATGTACAAGATCATTTCCACTTAAAAATGTGGTCATAAGAAATGGATGGACATCATACACACAAGGAAACAGTTAGAAATCATCACATGGAAAAGTGCTAGCAATTAATGGACTAAAACAATCTGACAAAAACAACTGTACACACCTATTAAAACTAGTGGAAATAAATAAAAATAGCAAAACCCAATACTGGCAGAGTTACTGGTAAATAGAAATGCTTATACATTGCTGGTGGCATTGTAAATTGTATAAGGGATTCAAGCATTCAGAGGAGGGGTTGAACTAGATGAACTTTAGGTCCTTCAACCCAGAGATTGGATCTTTCTGGGAAAGCAACATGATATCAAACAAAATCTGACTGTTATCAAGTCCGTTCCAATCCAGACAGACTTGACAGAACTCCTTCATGGAGTTTCTAAGGCCGTAAATCTTCATAGGAGAAGTTTGCTTGATCTTTCTTCCACAAAGCAACTGGTAGGTTCAATGCTGGTCTTGGGTTTATTGCCCAATGCTTAGCCTACAGCGCCACCAGGGCTCCTGTACTATGAAATACGAGCTATAAAATAATTCATGCTCTTTGACCTTGTAATCCCTCTTTGGAGATATTTCCAAAGGAATAATTAAAAAAGAATTTTTTTATAAAGACATTCATAGCAGCACTTTTTGTTAAATTGAAAAACTAGACAGAACTCAAATATCTAAAATGAGAACAATGAGGTTAACCTTAATATATTGTTTAAAAGATATTTAAATTGGTGAAAGCAGGACTCGTGTTGATAAGAGGACAGATGTGTTAGGTGGAGAAGTACAACAGAAGAATATGTACACTCTAATCATAGAATGTAAAAATATGTGCATATGTACTGAGAAAGCTAGGAAAACAATTTTGAGGGATAGTTTGAGGGCAAGGGGTTCCTTTTTTCTTGCAAAGTTTTTCAAGTGCATAATAAAAATTTAAAAACATTTCTTGAAACTATATAAAAAGAGCAAAATTTCTTCTGTCCAAGATTCTATCAACAGGACATGAATGTATCTACTTAAGTAATTTTCCTTTACGGAACACTCAAGTGAATTATCTTGATATTGAATCACCTTGGACTTGTAAGAATTTTGAGATAGGTTAAGTTTATAATTTCCTACTTTGGGTCCAATGATAAAATCTATTTATCCGAAATAATATCATTATCCACCAAGTTCACACATTACATTATATTTCGGATCAAACTGAAGTCTTTTCAGTCATGGTGATTTGCAACTTTCTTTGTTTTAATTAATCTTCCACATCTGAATAAAAATGAGTGTTAAGGACTTTTTAAGACCAGTGTCAATGAAAAACCAGCAATAAAGAATTAGTTATTCCCTCATTAAAAATGACCCTTTAACAAACAGTCAAAGCTTGGTGCAAGTTTCAGTCATACAAAATCACATGGTTGAGATTGATAGCAAAGGATTCTGCGCCATATTAACCCATGTGGTTATTAACATATGTACACAGGTACTTCCAAAAAGGAATCTCCATTTTCTCATTGTTTTATTCCTAGACATACCAAATTCTGCCTCCACTACACTGAGTAGTAGAAAAACTCTAATGCTCAGGAGAAAGGAAATCGCTCTGCCCATAAAAACCAGGCCAGAAGTTGGCTTGAACTTTCCACAGAGACCTGGGACCAGAGAGCACGCAACATGTGTATGCTGTGCTGGAGTGAACACACAAAGCCCGAAGAACGAAAACGGACAGAAGGCACCACGCCATCCTCCAGGCGACAAGGGGAGAATTTCACAGTTCGGTCATCAACAGTCTTTTCATCATTTTCTCTCTCTCCAGTTCCTGCCGAAGCGTCTCTGCACTAAAGAAAAGCAGGTGACAAAATAGTGAGACATAAAAAGGCAGAATTTGGTGAAGATAATTAACTGTATCAAGTACAAAGACGGCACCTTTCTAAATATTTTAAAACACCACTGACGGAACCAATATCTTTTCACTTTGAGTATTAGTTGACTTTCTTTAGATGACTCATTAAGTCTTACAGATAGAGAAGAAGAGAAGGATCATGCCCACACAATGGCTGGCAAAAAAGAGAAAATGAAGTAAAAAGCTCTTTTTTTTTTTTAAATCACCAGGCATGTGATGTCCTGGTGGCATAGCTGGTTATGTGCCGGCTGCTAACTAAAGGCCACACTGTGGGTGGAGGATGAGCAGTCTGTTCCTGTAAAGTTGCACTGTTGTTGTTTGTGGTTAGGTACCGTCCAGTCCACTACTTCTCACAGTGACCCTGTGAATCCTGCACCGTCCTCACCATCTCTGATATGCCCCAGCCCATTGTTCTAGTCGCTACGTCAATCTATCGTGTTGAGGTCTTCCTCTTCCTCTAACCCTCCACTTTCCCCAGCGTGGAAATTACTAGCCCCTCCTGACAACATGACAGAGTATGTGAGACAGTGCTTTACCATCCTTCCTCCAAGAAGCACTCTTGTTGCTTCCTCCAAGACAGACTGGTTTGTTCTTTTAGACATTCCGCGGAGAGACATTATGAATTGGAGTCCATCCAATGGTAGTGGGTATAAATAAGTCACATTATGTTTCATCACTATGCTCAAGAATTTATAACCAGCTGCCAGCAAGTCAATTTCCATTCATGTCAACCTCATGTGTGTCAAAGTAGAATTGCATCCCATAGGATCTTCAAAAGCTGTTATTTTGAATGTAAGCTGTCAGATTTTTCTTCCAAGGTACTTCTTGATAAAACTCAAACTTTCAACCTTCCAACTAGAAGCTAAATATTGGAGCTGCATCATCTAGGGACTCCATGAGAGAGGAAACAGCTTCTCCATACGGGAGAAACTGATCAGTATTTGACCGGGCAAAGTTAGGGGTTCTCCACAGCATCCTAAATGTACTCCTCAAAATGTTTGATTCCCATCATGTACACTAAGTCCCGGGATATGAATGTGTGACTTACAGGCAACTCCCACTTGCCCTTTCATATTCTATAAATTTGCTTTCACTATGAAATGAAATGACTGAACCAGCCCCTATTTGAAAGATCACAATCACCTTGATTGGCTGCATGTGCTGCTTTTAAAATCATTGAGCCTTTTCCTGCACTAAACCAAAAACTGCCCAGTTGATTCTGACTCACTGCGACCCTCCTTTGGGTTTCTGAGGCTGTAAATCTGTATTGTTCATCGTATTCCCACTGAGCAACTGCTGGATTAGAACTGTGGATCTTTTGGTTAGCAGCCTGACATGTTACATACTATGCCATCAGGGCTCTTTCTTGAACAATCATAAAGCTAAGTAATAACCGTATATACCTGATCTGACTTACCTACAAATGTAGCTTAAAGGCATACCTTGGAACTTATCATGTATGCTACAGATTGCCTATATGCCTTCTTGCTAGGATGTGGCTACTTGAAAGGAGGGACTGTGTCTTCTGAGGCAGCTTTGCAGGCAAAGGGCTTGATATGTGGGACACACGCAGGATTTTAGCAGATCAGTCCCTGTGCACAGGACAGTAATTGCTCAGGAAACACCTGCTCATTGGAGCCTTAATCATTGCCAGCTCCCAACACAACACCCAGCACACAAGACAGGTTCAATAAATAGCTTTTCTACCAAAGTCGCTTCTCTCCTTCTACTCTGACCTGCATTTGTAGTACACTGTCCTTGTTGTGTGTGATTACAGGTTGATTATAGAAGTTTTCCAGGTCCAGAACTATAATCTTCAGCAGAATGGGATTAGATCGATATTTTGAATCTTCTGATATATGTTTATGTCTAGAAACTTAAGAAATAACTTAGTATTTTAATAATATATTTATAAATATATTTTAATAATATGTTTATAAAATAAACAATAAATAGGACACACACCTATTGAACATCTACTATATTCTCAGCTCTATGCCAATGGCTAAAATGTGTAATCAAGCATTCTCGGTCCTCATAATGATCTAATTTGCACTGGTACTATTCCCACTTCATTGATGAGGAAACGAAAGCTTAGGAAGGCTAAGTAAACCTGCACAAGGCAGAAAGTGTTGGAACAAAAACTGGATTTTAGACAGTCTAATTCCAGAGCTTATAAACATAAGATTTAATAAGAACTTATAATATTAAGAACAAATAAGAACAATAAGAGCTTATAATCTTAAGAACAAGTTCAAACCTTTAATTTCTATAATCAAGGATGCTTTAGGCAGAATATTAAATGATACAGGAAGTATTAAAAGAAGATGGAAAGAATATACTGAGTCACTGTATGGAAAGAAATAGGCAGACACAGAAGAATTTCATGAAACAACATATGAGCAAGAGCCTATGGTGATGAAGGAAGAAGTTCAGGCTGCTTTGAAGGAAATGGCAAAAAATAAGGCCCCAGAATTAGATGGTATACCAATTGGCATATTTCAGCTAACAGATGTTGCCCTGGACGTGCTCACCAAGTTGTGCCAAGAAATGTGGAGAACAACCATTTGGCCAACTGACTGGAAGAGATCTATATTTGTTCCCATCCCAAAGAAAGGTGACCAACAGAGTGTGGAAACTATAGAACAGTATCATTGATTTCACATGCAAGCAAGAGTCTACTGAAGATTATCCAAAAACGACTGAACAACACCTGAGCAGAGAACTGCCAGAAGTCCAGGATGGGTTTAGAAGGGGTCATGATACTAGGGATATTGTAGCTGATGTTAGATGGATCTTAGCTGAAAGCAGGGAATACCAGAGGAATATATATCTGTGTTTCAGTGACTATGCAAAGGCGTTTGATTGTGTGGATCATAACAAACTGTGGCTGACTTTGAGAAGAATGGGAATCCCAGAACACTTGCTTGTGCTAATGCAAAACCTATACTTGGACCAGGAGGCAGTCGTCAGAACAGAGCAAGGGAACACTGCATGGTTCAAAATTGGGAAGGGTGTACACCAGGGATGTGTCTTATCTCCATACCTTTTCAACCTGTATGCAGAACAGATTATCCGGGAGGCTGGGCTCTATGAGGAGAAATGTGGGGTCAAAATTGGTGGAGGATCTATCAACAATATGGATTATGCAGATGACACAACCCTGCTTGCTGAAACTGAGGAGGACCTGAAGCGTTTGCTGCAGAGGGTTAAGGGCTGCAGTCTCCAATATGGACTGAGGCTCAATGTCAAGAAGACAAAGATTCTCACCACTGGACCAATTGGCAGCATCAGGATGGATGGTGAAGAGATTGAGATTGTACACAGCTTTAGGTTGCTTGGCTCTACAGTCAACACTCTTGGCACCAGTAGCCAGGAAATTAAAAGACACATTGCCATGGGAAAGTCTGCTATTAGGGACCTCTCCAAAGTACTGAAGAACAATGGTGTCTCTCTGGAGACTAAGATGTGTCTGATACAGGCCATGGTCTTTGCAATCACTTGTTATGCATCAGAGAGTTGGACAATGACCAAGGAGGATAGAAGGAGAATTGATGCCTTTGAGCTGTGGTGCTGGAGAAGAGTATTGAGAGTACCATGGACTGCTAGGAAAACAAACAGATTCATCCTGGAAAGGGTTAAACCGGGTGGCTCCTTGGAGGCAAGGATTCTGAGGCTCCGTCTAACATACTTTGGACATGTTGTAAGGAGAGACCGGTCCTTGGAGAAGGACGTCATGCTTGGGATGGTGGAGGGACAGGGCAGGAGGGGAACGCCCTCTATGAGGTGGATTGATTCAGTGACTGGGTTAATCGGGATGGGAGTGTCAGAGACAGTGTGACTGGCACAGGACAGAGCAGAGTTTAGGGCTGTTGTACATACGGTTGCTATGAGTCGCAAGCGACTCGATGGCACATAACAACAACAACATAATCTTAAGAGGAGAGGAAAACTCAGAAAGCAGATCTTCAGTGGGATATAAGGGCAGGTTCTGAAGGTTCTGTGTTTATTGAGAGTCTAGGAGTGATTTTTGTCCATGTTGTTCTGCTGTATCTCTAGCAGTTAATAGTAAATCCACTGTAGAATTACTGACTGGGCAGCAGGCTCCAGTCTCTATGACCTAGGCATCTAGAATACAGCACAAGGAAAACAAATGCAGACAAAGAAGCTGAGATTCCTTTTACCAGTTTTCTCTCCAGATAATTTGAAATCCTTGGTATCAGGAGTCAAGAAATCAAAAGACATGTTGCGGTGGGAAAAGTGCTGTCAATGTAAGGTGTTAAGGAGCAATGATGTCAGTTTAAAACTAAGGTGCATCTGATTCAAGCCACTGTCTTTTCAGCTCCTTGATATGCATCTGAAAGTTGAACAATGAGTAAGGATGACAGAGGAATCAATCCCTCTGTGCTATGGTGTTGGAGACTATCCCATGGACTTCCAGGAGCACCAACAAATTTGTATTACACAATCTGCAAGCATGGTTCTCCTTAGAGGCAAGGATGGTGAAGCTTTGTTTTATGTATTTTGGGTACGTTGTTAGAAGGGGCCTGTCCTTGGAAAGGGACACCATGCTTGGAAAGGTGGAAGGTCAGTGAAAGAGAGAAAGACTCTGAGCAAAAGAAATTGACACAGTGACTGTAACGATGGGCTCAAGTACCTCAGAGATGATGAGGATGACACAGGACAGGGCAAAGTTCAGATGCATTGTTCATACGACTGCTGTTCGTAGTAGCGACTCCACAGCACCTAACAACAGCAACTCCCTTTTTTATTAGTCTATAAATTTTCAACTAGTTTTTATCTGAAAGTTGGAAAGTGAATCAGAATAGCAGAAGAAAGACAAAAAGCATCTTTGAATTTTGGTTCTGGAGAAAATGACTGAATAGCTCATGTACTGCCAAAAGAACAAACAAGCCTGTCTTGGAGGAACTGCAA